CACCTCCACTTTTCTGTGTTCTGTGTCTTCACCCTGGCATGTCTGACTGTAAGTTTGTTTCTACTGGCCTGTTTGAAACTCTTTCAATGTGTGTACTTCTTTAATTAGGTGATGCTTCCATTCTCGAAAAATAGTTCTCTTAGAACATCGCTCCTCCCACTTCTGGAACTCTTGAAAAATATGTAACACTTGCTCAGCACTTAGCAAGGTCTCTCGCCGGCTGGCCGTTAACCAGCTCTGCAGCCTCCCTGCTCTCGGTGCTCTTCAGCCCAGAGTCACCTTCCTGTGGCTCACACTCAGGCACTGTCTTCTGTCATAGGATCTTTATTGGGCTCTTTCCTGGGTGAACTTCTAGAATCACTCGTCTCCTACTAGTTAACAGCCACTCATCCTTCAAGAAGGCCTTGCTGACTCTTCTGATGGGGTGTTTTTATTCTACGCTTATAGTATCTTGATTTGTCATTCAGAGCTCCTGGGGCGTTAGTACTGTGACCGTTGTTTGTGTGAGTATTGAATTAATGCCAGGCCCTCGCACTCCTGCTCCAGGAGGAAGTAAGGTTGACTCTTGAACCACACAGATTTGAATCATGTGGGTCCACTTATATGCCGATATTTTTCAATACATACAGTACAGTAGTATAAATGTATTTCCTTTTCCTTAGGATTTCCTTAATAACATTTTCTTTTCTTCAGCTTGCTGTGTTGTAAGAACACACTATATAATGCATATGCCATAGAAAGCATAGGTTAATCAACTGTATATGTTATCAATAAGGTTTCCAGTCAACGGTGGGCTATTCATAGTTAAGTTTTGGGGACTCAACTGATGCAAATCTTTGGCTGCACAATCAAAGGAGCACCCCTAAGACCTGTGTTGTTCAAGGGTCAACTATATTTTGTCTGTTTTAGTTTCTCATTCTGTTGACATTTTGTAGGCACTCAGGAAGTAACAGTATAGAGACTAAAACCAGCCAGGAGCTACGAAACTAGTTCTGTTTGTGAGCATAATTCGTTCTGGAAACCTTGGGGTGTGAGCATAATTCATTCTGGAAACATGCTTGTAATTCAAAGTGCTTGTATATCAAAGTGATTTTCAAGAGCCATTGGCTCCTTGGTGATCACCTGACATTGTCACGTACTTCTCATATTGCAAGACATAGCTCATTTATCAAGTTACAGTTTATTAGAAATGTTTGCTCATCTTGCAGAACACCCGCAGAACAAGTTACCCTTAACCAAGGCTTTACTTGTATCAGGGACCCGGGCTATACTGATTTATCTCTATGAGCTTCATTTCCATCAGAGTAGACCAGCTAGCCCTCCTTTTCTGCAGCTACTTACTACAATGAAAGGCTCAAGGTCAGCAGTCTCCCTATGTTATGTAGCATGCAGTGCCTATGAACTGAGCCTGTCCCTCTCTCTCTCACATTGTTTAGGTATCCTCCCACTTTAATTTCTAGCGTGTCTGAGCTAGAGCTACAGAATGTATAACAAGCTCTGGATCATTTCTGGATAAATCCCTTTCTCCTCTTTTTGTCTTGAATACCTGAGCAGATGTGTCTTTGAAAAATTACAATTTCAAAAATCAAATAAGAAATAACATGTTTTCATTCTCTGTTAAAGTAAAGAATTAACCCTCGATGCATTTATTTAACAAGTATTTATTGAGTCCCTTTTGAGTGTCATTTACTACATTTGGTCTTTAGGTTACAGTAATAAAAACAAGGTCTCTGATCTCACTAAAATTAGAGTATAGAGAGGGAAGACTATTCCAATACTCCTCCTACTACTAAATAATCAAAAAGTATGTGACTGCTTTGAATGAAAGAAATAGGGTTCCCTCTGACTATTTAACAAACGAATGTCACCTTGGTAGGCAATTGCAGAAGGACGGGGAAGACCAACTTCATGAGTGACTCCCGAGCAAAGATTTTAAAGATGAGTAGGAGTTAATGCGACAAAGAGGACAGGTGCAAACATCTCAAGAAGAAAAATTCGTGTGTGCAGATGTCCTGTGGCAGGAAGCAGACTGACAATTATGAGAGTCTAAAAGAAGATCTAAGAGGCTTGAAAACAGAAAGGAGAAGGGAAACTTAGGGGCACCTGGGTGGCTCCATTGATTAAGCGTCCAACTTTTGATTTTGGCTCAGGTCATGATTTCATGGTTCATGAGATCAAACCCCTCACATTGGGCTCTGCATTGACTGCACAGAGCCTGCTTGGGATTCTGTCTCTCGTCTCTCTCTCTGCCCCTCCACCTGCTTGTGCATGCATGTATGCTCTGTCTCTCAACATAAATAAACATTTTTTCTAAAAAAGGGGAATTTATTAGAGTTGAAGATAGTCACTTGAAGATGAGAGATGGTGATGTATTCTCTCTGTACAAGTGTGGCTTGTACTGGCTAAAAAGGAACAACTGTCATATTTTCAGAAATTTCATGTGAGCCAACTGCTAAATACCCACTATTAAGAATAGAAGCATATAAACTCATATTAAATAAATTACCTTAAAAATAAAGGTTTACTAATTATCCCAAGTCATTCTTAATTATTTTACTATAGTTTACTGTTATTTATCCTCCTGGGTTTAGTTTTGCCTATTCTCTCAGTGTGGTAGAAACATCTTATAGTGATATGCACCTGTGCATTTCTTTCCACCGTCACTTGCAGTGACGTCACTTGAAATTGACCACAGTGGGAGTTTACACCAAGGAAATTGGCAAACTTTTCAAATCAGACCTCCCTTACACCTCTAAAACCCAGCTGTTAAACATTTACCAGCACAGGCTGAGTAAGACTGTACAACACCTTGGAGACAGTGTTAAGAATTCATCTTTCTCACAGGAGAAATAAAGAGGCATTGAAAGGTTTTGAGCAAGGAGTCGACAAGAGCACATTTCTATTTTTAAAACAACCACTGACACTACAGAAATGGAAAGAGGAAGCAAGGTGACTTTGGAGAGCCCAGATAGTAAATAATGGTGGCTCAGACTAGGACCAAAGAAATGAAAATGCAGAGGAGTGGATTTCATATATACAGTATTTAGGAGCTAAAATAGAAGGCTGAGCCCTGGTGGGAGTAGCAAGAAGCAGTCACTTAAGACCTTCATGAGGAAGAAGTGAAATCTCTACATCTTCCCTAAGTTCTGGATGCTTAGGATGTTTTTCATTTTGAGCCCAATTCTGCCACCATGTGTCAAAGAGCCAACTTCACAGTTGAACAAACTTAGGCCCGAATAAGGAGAGAAAAATTTGCATAAGGAGATATGAGATGAAAAGACTGTCTCCCTACCAAAATGAATTACTTAAAAAGTCATATGCTGAGCGAAATAAGTCAGGCAGAGAAGGACAAATATCATATGTTTGCACGTATAGGAGGATTAGGAGGAACTTAACTGAGGAACAAGGGGGAGAAGAAAGGGGGAAGTGGTGGGGGAAAGGGAGAGAGGCAAACCATGAGAGACTCTTGAATGCTGACAAAAACTGAGGACTGATGGATGTGGGGGGGAGGGGGGATGGGCATGGAGGAGGACACTTGTGGGGATGAGCACTGGGTGTTATGTGGAAACTAATTCGAAAATAAACTATTTGTGAAAAAAAATGGAGATAAAATTTAAAAAAAAAGTCATCTGTGACTTTTCCATCTTCATTGATGGCAATCATGAGAATTGTCTCGAAGATCTCTGACCTGGGGAGTATAAATGACTGCATTCTGATACCCAGCATTTTAACAGATGCTTTGCTTCCCACAAGCTACCCCCAACCGCAGACAATGACTGAACAGAACTGAGACCCTAGGGCAAGCCAGATTCCTTCCATGAGTGGCTCTAACACCATGATCCCCTGTTGACCTTTATAAACATCCTTAGAATTGCATTCCACCCAACTTAGATGCTTCCACCCAACTTTCCTATCTTCATATCCATTCTCCTTCACTAGGGAAGGACATGCATCATGGCCAGATGGTTCTGCCTGCCTCATTGATGCCCTGACTGTTTTGTGTCTAGGGCAGGTCTTGAGATTCTGACTTGGGTCCCTCCTCCAAGTGATAGAAGATATCTGTAGTGTAAGTTCCTGGGTCCAAGAGAATTTCCCCAAACTCAAACAGCTGCTGCTCCTACCTCTTCTCAGAAGCAGAAGACTGTTGCCTGTGTCTTAGATGTTACAAGCTTTTTTTTTTTCTTTTTCTCTTCCTTTAATGCTTAAGTGATCTGTTTTATAAGGGACAGAGTTCTGGGAAATACCTGGGGTTTTTCGCCTGTGTGCCCAGGAGGGACTCATTCATTCTCTTCTCTGCCCTGCCCTCAGCACCCCACTTGAGAAGCCCATGGAATGAGTGAAGACAGACCTTATTGTATCTGGGCTCCTGGAGATTCTAAATGGTCACGATAGCACATGCACCACCTTTAATTATTCATTCCAGTTCTAGCTATTTCCACACTTTCATGGATGCTGCCTGTTCCCTGGGTTTGCCAGAGGTGAAGCAGTCGATGTGTCCTTTCTATCCATAGAGGGCTGGGGACTCTTTCCAGTTCACTTTGTTGTGTGTCCTTGTGATCTCACTTCTATGATGGTCTCAAGAAAAGTGATGATTTTGCAGAGTATCTGGCTTTTCTCATTTTTAGCATGAGATTAATATTTCTCCCATAGCTTTCTACATGCTGAGCAGAGAAAGCTCCCACCCCGTTTTTAAAAATCGGTTATGTTCCCGCATCAGGGTTTTTATCTTTGGCGGGTTCAGCAGAGTTGGGAATAGAATATGTACATAAGTTGTATATTATTCTGCAGGCATGTGAAATCCTTAGGTTATCAAACAGTAGATGCTCCTATGGTAGCCACTCTGTAAATGTCTTTAATGATAACGTTGATCAACTGTGGAATCCGCAATGCAGTATCCGGTAAAGATCCCGTAGCGATTATACATAGACAGGGAGACTCCGTTTCTCGGATGTTTGGCTGCGGGTCAGTCTTCACCATAGTTACCTTGTCCTTTCCACCAGGTGGTTGACCAGATTGACACCCTGACCTCTGACCTACAGCTGGAGGATGAGATGACCGACAGCTCCAAGACGGACACCCTGAACAGTAGCTCCAGCGGCACCACCGCCTCGAGCATCGAGAAGATCAAAGTGCAGGCCAACGCCCCTCTCATTAAACCCCCCGCACACCCGTCCGCCATCCTCACCGTCCTGAGAAAGCCAAACCCTCCGCCGCCTCCCCCACGGTTGACACCTGTGAAGTGTGACGACCCCCAAAGAGTGGTGCCAGCCGCCAACCCCGTGAAGACCAATGGAACCCTTCTGCGAAACGGAGGCTTGCCAGGCGCACCGAACAAGATTCCCAACGGAGACATCTACTGCGTCCCCACCGGTACCTTGGACAAGGCTTCAGCGCAGCCTCTGATGCACAGACCTGAAAAAGACAGGTGTCCCCAGGCAGGACCTCGGGAACGAGTTCGGTTTAATGAAAAAGTGCAGTACCATGGCTACTGTCCCGACTGTGACACCCGGTATCACATAAAAAACAGGGAGGTCCACCTACACAGCGAACCTGTCCACCCACCGGGAAAGCTTCCTCACCCAGGCCCCCCTCTCCCTCCTCCACCCCATCTCCCTTCTTTTCCCCTAGAAAATGGGGGACTGGGAATAAGCCACAGCCACAGCTTCCCCCCTCTCAGACCTGCAACTGTGCCTCCTCCCACTGCACCAAAACCACAGAAGACGATCTTGAGGAAATCAACCACTACAACAGTGTGATGTATGCCATTTCAAAAAGTTTTTGTTTTTTTTTTTATTTCTATATTATAAACATAAAATAATAAGTAATGAGCACTTTCTACTCAAGCAATAAAAAGCCCAAATATATTAATTCTGCATTCAGCAAAGTGGCATAAAAACCACCTGGTAAGTATGCAGTATGTTGTTTCTCTCCCACGCATACGTTATTTAAAAAGTTGCATCATCAGAAACCAACAGAACCAAGCAAAAGCTGAATGTATTGTGTTTGTTTTGTTGTTGTTTTTTTAACTGACTGCTGATAAACAGTGACCTGCAGATTTCAAACAGTTCAATTTACTATAAGTGATGGAATTAGATTCATTTTATTCAGGCCTAACTCACCTATGCATTAAAAACATGTCATTCTCCTCCCTTTGACCCAATGCTTTTTAGGAAGAAATTTTAATACTGAAGGACTATTTTGTTATTTTTTTCTAAAGATGTTTGTCACTAGTTTTACATTATTAAATGCCAAGAACGATACCAAAAAGTTTATTTTCTATACTATACAATGATGATTATCTGTTCAGCTTTCTATGTAATGGAAGATTCTGTCTGTGGAAATATCACGTGTCAGTCAATAAACAATAGTACATAATGGCAAAAGCAAATGTTCCTCAGAATTAACATGCAGAAGTGGTTCATTTCATCCCATGTTAGTATTCACCGAAATGGGTCGCTCTCCTGACAGAGTTTGGAGAAGATTACGATGAGCATATGCCAGAATTTTCTAAATTAAATATCATAATCAGGTCATAAATCGTACCTTACTCATTTTCATATCATGTATTGTGGTCTCCCCCAGACTGTATATTGAAAGTCTCATTGATCCAATACATGGCCAAGCCCTTTAGACCCTCCTCACACTGAGCATTCCTCTAGGACACACCATGAGCCAGTATGTTGAAGCAGTGGGTTGATTTGCCTCCTGCATCAGCAAGCTCTTTGTCTCCCCAAGGAAATCCCTAGTTATAAGAGAATTACAGCAGAAAATAAAGATGCTTCTGGAATAGGATGTTTTTAGTGCCAGCGTTAACACTGTTTCCCCTCAGAGTTGAAATAGAAGGAAGAGAAGAAATCCTTTCCTCATAACATCTTAAAAAAGATCCCTCTTAAGTCTAACTTGCCAACTTACATCACTTACCCACCCATGGACCAAGTTAACTTCCCAACTACTGTGATTTGGACTGATCTGATACCTTGTGAACTAGAAATGAGTTTATCTGTCCTAGAATTATGAAAACAGGTGCATGCCTGAACAAAAGTTGTCCATGAAGTGGCAAGAGTAGAGGGAGTCATCTTTGGTGGAAATTGGTTTATTGTGCAGCTTAATAAAGAATGCTATACTCTTTTAGACTATCTGGCTTTTGATCTCAAAACTTTAATTTTTGTTGCTACAGGAAGATAGTCATATTTCTTTGTTGCCATTTTCAAGACATGGTAATTTGGAATACTGTTTTTCAACAACTTCCTATTAAAAGATGATAATATTCCTTAGGCAGATTAACAAAGAAATAGGCATTACTTTTGAAGAAACAATTATATGAGTAAAAAAATAGGGGATATCATGTTGCAAATTTACTCAGCACGACTTTCTTTCCTTTGTATGTTAGCCATGAAGATAATGCAAGCAGAATAAATCCAGTTTTCTTTTTCCAGGAAGTTACAGAACATAAGACCAGTAATAAAGACAGGCCATAATCTAAAATTTATTAATTGTTTGAGAAGTATATTTAATAAATCTGACCCAAGTAAACAAGGACTTGACTCACCAAGTACCAAAATATTATATTCTTAACATTTTCATGCATTCATTGAGGCTCGATATAAATAAACCCAAGATTTTATCATCTTTCTAGGTTTTAATAATTGCTCTCTTTCCAGTGTGCATCCATTATTAGACATGTAGTATTATAAACAGTCTTTGAAGACATGCACCTTTCTCCCATCAGCCCATCTTCCTTCTCCAGCCAGTTACATGAGACCTAATAATTAGCTTTTAGTTCTAAACACAGACCGCTGTCAATGTCTGGGAGCCACTGTGGATCTCAATGTAGAGCTCTTGGCAGCCGCAAATCATGCACAGAGTAGATAACTCAATTGCAATAAAGCAGATTGAATAAGCTGAATCATTCATGCTGATTCAATAAGGACACTGAGCCAGATGCTTAGACACAACCAGTGAGGTTCAAATTCACATCTCTTTCTCCTAGTATAGACAAAGGTACCCCATGAAAAACCATCTTTTTAAGTGTGATTGGTGACTTACACCAAAACAACAATACCTGCTTTTGTTCAACACGTTTACAAGTAACTTTTGGTCTGGAAAGCTGAATTAATTCCCAGCCTACAAAAGATAAGAGATATTGACCTTCTTCTCTTATTACACTTTATTATATAATCGGCATTAATATTAGATCATATCAGTGTTGGGACTTTCTTTTGAGTTTATTCCATATGTTATCTCATTTTTTTCAATTAAGGTATGGAATATATTAGGAGCACCTGGGTGGCTCAGTCGGTTAAGTGTCTGACTTCGGCTCAGGTCATGATCTTGCAGTTCACATGTTTGAGCCTTGGGTGGTGCTCTGTGTTGACAGCTCGGAGCCTGGAGCCTGCTTCAGGTTCTGTGTCTCTCGTTCTCTGCCCCTCCCCAACCTGTGCTCACTCTCTTTCTCCCTCAAAAATAAATAAACATTTTTTTAAAAGGTATAGAATATATTGGGCCAATATATTTTTTCCCAACTGGTAATTTTGAAACATTCACTGGAACTTATGTGTTTAAATATATATAAACTTCTAAAACATGAAAAGCAATCAACATACAGCATCATAATATTTGCCTGGAAACTTCTAATTAAAGTGTAATAAGTGGCAATGCCATTTCTGTCATTAAGAAATACTGCTTTCCAAAGTTAAATTCTGCCCATCATCCATTAAGTCATCATAAAACAGGGCAAATAGTTGCTTTTCCTGAAGATTCCAGAGCAGAAATGCCTTCTTTATACCCCTCAGGGCATTCTTTTTCCCACTGTGCATCTGAAGCCCTGAGGAATATGTACCCCTAACCAACTTAGCCTCCAACCTCTTTTGAAGGAGATGTTTCTGCAAAGTGTACCAGGGTATTGCTGCTTATGGCAACACTCATTCAGAGTGAAAGGGAGAACATTGTTTGTTTGTTTGTTTGTTTGTTTGTTTGTTTTAAAGTAGGATCTAGGGGCACCTGCATAGCTCAGTCCAGTAAGCTTCTGACTTTGGCTCAGGTCATGATCTCATGGTCCGAGAGATGGAGCCCTGCATCCGGCTCTGTGCTGACAGCTTAGAGCCTGGAGCCCACTTCAGATTCTGTGTCTCCCTCTCACTCCACCCCTCCCCTGCAGGTGCTCTCTCTCTCTCTCTCTCAAAATAAAGAAACATTTAAAAAATATTTAAAGTACTAGCTATTAATTAAATTGACACAGGGAAGGGTTTGTCTTGCTAGTTTAAGCAACGATTATCCCATTTTGGACATGGGAGGTTATTGTATCTTATCTAATGAAAAAGCAAAAAGAAGATAAAAAATTGACCAAAGTTCTCTTCCATCTCTCAGTAGTTACAGCAGTTATAAAAGGAGATAAAACCGATATTTTTTTAGGTCATGCTTCAGCTAAATTTAAAATATCTGCTCAAAACTACAGAGCATGCCAAAAGAGAAATTTGCCACTCTCCCCATTTGTTATTATATTCCTACATTCCCTCATTAGCTTAACATTATTCTAGAAATAAATGAGCCTGGTATTAACTGAAGTGGTTTAATTAACCTAAAAAATCTTGTCTTTGAATTTTGCCTGCATCTAATTATTTAATGAATAAAGGTCTAAGGTGTGGTATTATGTGACTTTCTCGGGCAGATCAGTAGTTGCTTGCTTATAGCATTACCAAGAGCAGCGGCTACACACCGTCTGTGCAAGACCTTTTATCTACAGATTCTAATTATAGCAAATTAGAATTTATTAATATGTATTAATATGAATAAATTACATAAAATTGAATTTTTGGATGCTCCATGAAGAAAAAGCCTTAGTAGTCTATGTTTAATTGCACTGGGAATGATGTAATCAAGTCATGAAGCGCTATCTTTCTTGACTAAACTTTTTTCTATGGAGAAAATGCAATAATGCAATGTCAAGTCTGCAATTGTCCTGATTCAGTCTCTTTCCCCTGATTCTCTATTGGTAGCACATTTTGCTACACTCGAATCTGTAGTGAAAGATTGCAGTGTGATGTCCTCGGGTACATACTGATGATTTCTAAGTGAGGGAATGATTTATGAGCAATAAAGTTCCTTGAGAAGCACATCTCACCTAACTGGATATGATGCACAGAATGTCACAATTACTAGACGCGACCACCAAATCACACTACATTTTCCAGGTTGATTTGTAACTGTGACGGTGTATTTAAGTTTTTAGACTAAACATTTTGGAGTTTTAGAATCGTTCAAGTTGCCGGATTGTGAAATAATGACAGATTCGATACTACCATGAGGGCACACAGCAGTGGTGGACATAAAACTGCAGTTACCCGCGTCGTGTGGGGCTGCAATTATGTAGGGTATCATTACGTTGAAAGTCCTTGGATTTATCATTCTGGTCTTCTTTGGAAAAAACTAAAGTTGAACATAAAGTCGCTCTGCAAATAACCCTCTCTAAAATGTAGTTTAACCTGGGGCGCCTGGGTGGCTCAGTGGAAGGAGTGTCTGACTCTTGATTTTGGCTCAAGTCATTATCCCAGGGTTGTTGGATGGAGCCTTGTGTCAGGCTTAAGATTATCTCTCTCTTCCTCTCTTGTGCCCCTCCTCCACTCAAGTGTGTGTGCTCCCTCTCCCTCTCTAAAATAAAATAAAATAAAATAAAATAAAATAAAATAAAATAAAATAAAATAATAATGTAGTTAAATCACCATGGAGTAAAGACTTGTGTAAATAGTGCTTATAATTCTGACTTCTTTATCAACAATAGGTAAGCTAATGTTATTAACTGTTTTCTGAAACTTTACATACATTAAAGTTTCTCTAAGTTCTCATAGGAATGTATAATATAGATGATACTACCCTGATTTACAAGTGAAGAAACCCAAGACCTCAGTTTCAGTATTTTGCCAAAACCCACCCCTTACTCAGTGACTGAGCTGGCATTTTATGCCAGCTTGACTCCCCATAATTTCTCCCCCATCACATCACTATTTAATTATGTTCTTCATAGCCCTGAACTTTGCAAATCTTTCCTTTATTCTGAGCAGCTATTTTGATGCTTAGAAGGGGTTACCTAATGTTATTTTGACATTCTTAATATGTTTGATCTTTGCAGAATATAAAAGGGATTTCAGGCAATTTAGCAACCGTCTAAAATGAATGAGCTGCTGAATAATGCCAGCCTCATTTTCTCATGTATTATATCAGCAGCTTCACCTTTCAGTTTTTTTTTTCCCTAAGTTCAAAGGCTCTATTATTTTGGTTTCTTTCCCTAAGAAGTTCTGATTTCATAGTATTAATGACATTTGACCCTGAATGTGTCACTGCCATTACTGGTATTTCATATGTGAATTTCATCTATTTAACATTGACCCCTATGCTGAAAATAGCAGTTGATCCATTCCGTGGAACCACTAAAGAACCAGTGCAATAGAGCTCTCTTTAATAAAAGACTTTACATACTTTTGCTACTATAGATACGATTTTCCATTGTTTGATAATGTAGTTATCAGTTCTCCCAACCACCAAAGAGAAATTTGGACCAGCTAAATAAAACAATAGTGTGCCCTGGAATGGGTTTGGGTTGATATTGACAAAACATGTGGTATCTAACCCTCCTCAAGGACTCACTTTATGCCAGACATTCTTCTATGTGTTTTATATGTTTTATTTTCACCTCATAACTATTTCCCGTTATTATCCAGAATAGTCCAAAGGAGTATGAAACCGTACTAAAGAATTTAGGTCATTGATGATATAAATTATGATGTACGTTTATAGTATCCATTTAGGCAGCAGGGTGCTATGATAAACATGTAAATTTGAAAACAGAATGCTTGGGTTTGAGTCTTAATTTTTCCAACTCCTAAGTGTTCCTGGTCAGAGTGCTAAACCAGATGTAAGGCTTGCTTTGAAATGAAGATAACGGTGCCCCTCTTTTCTACCTAATAAGGCTCTTGAGTCATTATCCTCCTCCTATTATATATTCTGAGCTCACCCAAATATGACATGACAGATTTTTACATGTCAGGGCCAGGAACACTAATATCAACAGGATGCCACAACTTTTGCACAAACCCCAAATGAACTTCTAAGGTATCAGGACCATACACAGAAGCTCTTTG